TGAATATCAATTGTGTTAAAATGGACTGGGTCGATCCGTCATGACCCACTACCTCGTCTTAGGTGAAAAAATATTATTATTCCGGATAATCTCATAATTATATGGATAAAAACTTGTAAAAAGATATATGTATAATAGTAAATCGTCCAATTTCTTTTAAAAATTCTTTAAATTTATATTATTTTATTTTATGACTAGACATGCATGAAGGTAAGATATATATATATATATATATATATATATATATATATATATATATATATATGAAATCATTTGTTAAGCTTTTTATAGAATAAATAATTAAATGAATACATAGGAATACATTGTAAATGTGTTGTTGTAGCAGGGCAATACTATAGTACTACAATGAATTTTAGAGAGAGAAATAGGATGATACAGAGAAAATCTTAGAGAGAGAGAGAATGGGAGATACAGAGAGAATTTGGGATCATGTGAGAGAATTTTAGTGAGGAAAAAGAGGTGAATTTGAGTCAAATAGAGAAAGTAAAATTGGGTCTCTTATATAATGGGTGAAATATGGCTCAAAATGAGTGATCCATATTCAAACTGTTTAACCTTGTATAAAAATGGGTTAAATATAGGTTACGCATTTTGACCCATATTTTAAAATGACTTCAGCCATATTCATTTTAAAGCGAAAAAGATCCCGAAAAATATGAAATGCCCAGAGTGCCTCCGCAATATGGAGAAGCACTTTGCTTTTGTCTGCTGCCATGATGATAGTGGTACAAGCACACTATATTGAGTCATTTACTATGTATTTTCATTGAGTACTTTAAAATGCACGCTATAGTGCATGAACTACAATAATCATACATATATGTGAAATATGTATGTCGTGTGAGCTTAGTTTTATCTATTTAGGTGGATTTGAATGTGAGATACTAAAGCTCTGATTCTTTTAAATAAGACTATCGGTGTGATATTGTATTCGCCTAAATTGTGTGAAAATACTATTTTACCCTTAAATTTTTAATACTTTTATTTTTAAATATCAACAATCTAAAATGTCAATTTTGCCCTCATTAGTTACTTTCACCTATACCCACTTCTCTCTCTCTCTCTCGTACCGGGAACTTCCAATTTGAAGACCTGCAAAATTCTTAATTTTTTTTTTCTTAATTTTGTGTTTTTTTTATTTTTGAAAATTTGGAGGAACCAAAGTGGATTTTAAGCATAGATTCTTGACCGATCCAAAGATAATTTCTTGAAAGCTGACATGCTTATATATATATATATATATATATATATATATATATATATATATATATATATATATATAGGGTTAAGTGCAAAAAACCCCCATCTACTTTCGATATAGTACATATCGGTCCCTGTATGATAAAAAACCCCTTATATTATCAATTTGGTGCAAATAAGTCCCTGTATGGTATAAAATGACGATAATACCCTCACTTCAGTTGAATAAATTAATAATTATAAATATAGGCAATGTAAAATGACCTTTTTACCCACTTACCAAAAAAAGAAAAAAAAATAAATTTTGAGTGCCGCTTGTGGGGGCAAAAATTTCCCTTTTCAATTAAGACAAGACACATCAGCATATAAAGGGACCACCACAAATACTAAGACTATTCAACTTTCCTATTGGGCTTCTACAAGAAGCTTGGGGCGGATCAACTAATCATAATGGGCTGAACTCATTAAGAAGGTCTGAGATGATGAGACCTCGAGCCTATGTACGAATATATTACTAAACCCATTTTAGTAATAGTTCTATTAGAAGAAGGATTATAATTTATGGAAACCAAATAATGTAAATCCTTGTTATAAGGAAAGTATGATGTAATTCAGATTCTTAAGGAACAAGCAATGCGAGTCCTAAAAGGAATCCATTAAAGTTTTTTCCTATATAAAAAGGGCTCAGGACCTTCAATTAGAGGGATAGAGAAAAAAAGGCAAAGTCCCCAAAAATAGAGATCCAATTCTCATCGCCAGAACTACGTTTTGACTTGAGTCCCGCACTCCATGTGGGATACGTAGGCAATCTCGGTAATCCTAGGTTCAGTCGTATCATCAAAATACCCCTCATCTCTATACAAATTCTCTAGTTCGTTGTTTTTTCTCTTTTATTATTTTGGGTGTAGTAATTGTAGAGAATTCATTGACTTGTCAAAGTTGAACGAATTTTTGCACCTACATTTTGGCACCGTCTGTGGGAATCGTATAGAAATATATCCCCATTAAAGTTACAACACTTCTAAATAAAATCTCCAAGTCCAGCAACGTGACTTGAAATTAAAATTTCCAAGTCAGCAACATGACAAAGTTGAAGGAGAGTATGAATTTGAATCCAACCCTTTTCAGATGTCCGAAGCCAGTGTACCATACACAACCAGATCTTTCTCTGTACAACAAGCGTAGGCGTCCAAAAGGATTTTCAGACAACCCAACGCTCCGTGTTCCTCACACATCCAAAGGATCTACAGAAGGATGTAGATCCGGCCAACGCGTTTCAACCACAACTCAACACCCACGTGGTGATGGGTCTCTAATCAGATAAGTTTCCCATGCCAAGTCCCAACTTGATTTTTATAGTTAAATCTTTATTAAAAATTAAATCACAAGTTTTATCCAAAAATTTGTATCAGGAGGCTTTTCTAGGTACAACAAAATTATTGTCAGTTTCAGACTCACTCTCAATTCCTCTATTCACTTCATTAACTATTGGATCATTCAACTGTGATGAGTCTGATGCAACAATAGACAGCTCAAAGTTTTTGTCAACATTTTTAGTCCTAATTTTAGTAGATTTCTGGACAAAAAAGTGAAACACAGCATCATTGTTTTTACAAATATCATTAATCAATCTCTAATCCTCCAGCTGCTCACCATTACATAATACCTCTTGATCATCAAGATTAAGCAAATCATTCTTCTTTTTAGCAGTCTGACGTTTGACATAGCCAACGTCTCGACATCGTTCAACATGAAATGTGAATTCGTTTCCACAAGATGTTCTCACATAGATACACGAAGATTAGTGAGATGGAGAACCAAATACAAAACATTCCTTACATTTTGTTGTTGCTAAAGTTGCAACCTTACCTTAAGAATAGGAATCCAGAAATCTCACATTTAATTACCAAGTACAATATCTGAGGATGCAGAGATGGGTTATTGGGAGCACTCTCGTCAATCAAAGCTCTCACCTTTAAGTACCCTAGTAGTGCTTCGTATGACTAATATTCTCGGAAGGGCCCCGTTTTGGGTTCCTAGCATGAGTGGTTGGTTGAGGATGATGTCCAGGAGCTTGATTACAGGAGGACAAACATTCTACATTGCAAAGTATTAGTGTGCACTATGTAACTAGTAGAGGTGAGCAGATGACTGTCACTACTGGCTAAGCTCGCCGGTGCATCGCTAAAAGTTCGCAGCCGCTTCCTTACGATCGGATAGAAGCTCATCCCAGCTGAACCACCCGTCTGCACTTTGCACCGTTGCCTCCATCATCCCCGGCCGTAAGTCCTCACCAAGCTCGCGGATTTGTCTCGCCGGCGGTTTTCATCTCACCAGCCATCTATCTCTACCGCGAGCTCGACGGCCATCTTAATCCTTGCCGAGCCGTGGTACATAGGCGGAATAGCCCGCCGTCCACCACATCCGAGCTTCTCCTTGCTCGCCTCCTCTGTTGATTGCTACATTATACCAATTATATATATATATATATATATATATAACCTAATAGCCACTGTTTGGCTGCAAGTGTAAAGCTATCCCATTTTTGGATTAGTCGAGAACTAAACCCGCTTCGTAACCTCATTTGAAAACTTTTTTTGTGGTAACCCAATTCTGAAAAAAAAAAAAGAAAAAAGAAAGAAGGAATTGCCGATTCGAATTAGGGACTCATTTTGGAGCACTCAAAGCTCGAATATGCTCATTGGAGCGCCGTGGAACAAACGACAAACGATAGCTTTGTATTCCAAGTAAGTACCTCAAAATTTGGTCTATTGTTTGAAGTCCTAAACATATTACATGCATTAAATAATTCCAATTGAACTTTAAATATTTTTAGAGTTGACGTATGCCGTGGAGGGAAAAATCCCCCTCCAATGAAGGTCAGCCATATAGCTGTAATTGAAGCTTTGTTTTTATTTTTTTAATGGGTTGTAAGAATCCAGCCCTATTCAGGCCCAATAAAGACATCAACAGCCCAGGGTCGCTAAGGTTGAACTTCCGGTCCATTGGCAGAGTCATCTGGACCAAGCTACATTCAGCCCAACTTCAGTTAAAGACAGACCAGTCCTGCTAGGCAAATGATTCAACAAAGAAGGCAAGTTATGTGCAAGGAAAGTTTTGCATGGAAACAATTGTAAAAATGAAAGAATTCTAATTGTAAAGAATGTTATATATGGAATGAATTGGAGGACAAGCAAGGCGAGTCCTACCATAATTCCACCACCTTATTTCATATAAATAGAGGCCTAGACCTCCAGTAAAAGCATCGAGCAATATACGTTTTCCTCTAAGTATTATAATTGTTTATTTTGAGTGAGTTGCATTTTTCTTTTTGTTTCTTTTAATATAGAGGAATTTTGCACCTACACTTTGGCGCCGTCTGTGGGGAAACATATAGAAATATACTCCCACTATTGTTTCAAATTGTTTCTGTTACTATGATCTGGAATGTCGAACGGAGAATCTGCAATAGCGGCTGATCAACAGATGGAGTTAATACAAAAGATGTGAGAAGAATTCTTGCACCAGTTCGAAACGCTTTGTCAGGCGAATGAAGCCAACGTAACCCAAATTGTATTACTTCAACAGCAAAACGACACCCTTCAAACGGTGATGGCTCAGTTGAAACCACGGCCGCCACCAGTTGATGTGGCTGCACCTCCCCCAAACCAAAACGCTCCTCAGCACCAGTCACTCAGTTACCCGAGAAGAAACAAAGGACAGAGGAAAAATTCACACCTCTTCGCACCACCTTGGCTCGGCTATTCCAAGAAATCAAGATGAAATTCACAGCCCCTCAGCCAATGAAGCAACCCTTGGAGCAGAGGGACAAGAACAAACACTGCACTTATCATAAAGATTACGGGCATACAACCAATGATTGCAGATCCCTTAGGCGGCAAATGGAGAATATGATAATCAGGGGTGAGCTGGAAGACTACCTCACAATAAAGGAATATGTGAATCCTAGGGAGGCCAATCCTCAGAGAGTAGAAGGTAATAAGGTAAAGGTCATTCATGCAATACATGGAAGATCAGAGGACGACCAAGAGTCGAAAGAAGTATATAGATCCAAGCTGAGGATAGCTCATAAGCTAAGAAAGTTGTCCTCAGTGAACACTATCACCTCGGGCAGTATCAGTATTGGGTTTGGCGATGCAGATTTATCTAGAGTTCAGCTCCCCTACGAGGATCTACTAGTCATCAGCCTTTTGGTGGCTAACTGCATTTTCAAAAGTGTTCTGATAGACCCGAGTAGTAGCGCCAATATTATCACAAAGGTAGTCTTTGAGCAGCTGGAGATCTCGTCATCATCAATTCGGCCCACTTCCAGTCCCTTGATGGGGTTTGATGGCATGAAGGTAGACCCCTTTGGGGTGATTGATTTATGCGTCACTGCGGCAAAAAGAATATTGAAGGAGAACTTTGTTCTAATAGAGATCAATCCTTCGTATAATCTCATTATGGGAAGAGGCTGGATCCACCGAATGAACGGGGTCCCGTCTACCCTTCATTAAGTGATGCGATGCTTGTCACCGGATGGAAAGGAGGTTATTAATCTTTGGGCAGATCAAGTCGCTGCCAAAGAATGCTATATGTTGACACAGAATGAGGTGAAGAAGATAATTAAGCAATCCCAACCAGTTGCGACTCTTGGAAGTATGTCTAAATAACAATTATAGAGCCCTTTGCCCAAGTATTTGAAAGCGGAGGATGAAGCTGAAGCTACAAAGCCTACCGAGGAATCTCTCGAAGCTGTTGAAGTAATCCTCGGCGATCCCCAGAAAGTCACCTATATAGGCTCCTCCCCCACAACCGAAGAAAATGAAGCGTTAATTGATGTCATTCGACGGAATATAGATGCATTCGCTTGGGATCATTCAGATATGGTAGGTATCAACCCTTCAGTTTCATGCCATAGCCTGAAGGTGGATTCAGCGTTCAAGCCAGTCAAGCAAAGACACAGAAGGTTCGCTCCTGAGCACAATCGAATTACTGCTGAAAAAGTAAACAAATTGCTTCAGGTAGGCTTCATTCGAGAAGTGCATTATCCACAATGGCATTCTAATATGGTAGTGGTTCAGAAGAAGAATGAAAAATGGAGGGTGTGCATAGATTTTACCAATCTCAACAAAGTTTGCCCCAAAGATAGCTTTCCAATACCTAAACTAGATCAGATGATTGACGTTACCACTGGTTTTGAGAGACTCACATTCCTCGATGCGTATTCCGGCTATAACCAAATCCCTATGAATCCAGAAGATAAAGAGAAAACTACCTTCATAATAGAGAAAGGCACCTACTGTTATAGAGTCATGCCCTTCGAACTCAAGAATGCTGGGGCAACTTACCAATGCTTTGTTAATAAGATCTTCGATGAGATATTGGGGAAGATGGTCGAGGCCTACATCGATGACATGGTGGTTAAAAGTAAGAAGAAGGAGGAACATCGCAAGCACCTCCAAGAAGTCTTTGACACTTTGAGAAAGTATAATATGAAGCTGAACCCTTCGAAGTACTCTTTTGTAGTTTTTTCAGGGCAGTTCCTCAGCCATATTGTCAACAAAAGGGGAATCGAGGTAAGTTCGGCTCAGGCTCAGGCCCTAATACAAAATCAAGAACTAAAAACTCGCAGGGAAGTACAGGTTCTGACTGGCTGAATCGCAGCTCGTAGCCGCTTCATCTCCCGGTTGTAGGATAAGTGCAAACCATTCTTCGATATAATAAAATCCAAGAATAAGGACATATGGGGACCCCAGCAGCAAATTGCTCTCAATCAGTTGAAGTGTTACATGACTGAACCTCCAATTCTCTCTGCTTCAAAGCCTGGTGAGACTCTCATATAGTATTTAGCAATCTCTGGCATAGCCACAAGTACTGTATTGATCAGAGAAGAAGGAAAGAATCAGTATCCAGTGTTCTACACAAGTAAGACAATGACAGATGCTAAAACATGATACATCAAAGCAAAGAAGTTCATATTAGCATTGGTGTATGCAAAGAGAAAGTGTTGACACTATTTTGAGTCACATAGCATCATAGTTCTAACCAACTATCCTATGCGAGTTATTCTTTCCAAGCTAGACTTGTCCAGAAGAATAACTAAGTAGGCAATCGAACTTAGTTCATTTGATATATCTTATGAGCCAAAGGTGTCACACAAAGGACAGGCATTTGCTGACTTCCTCCTTGAGTATGAAGATAAGCCCAAAGAACCAGACCTTCATGAACCACAATGGGAACTTCGAGTTGACAGTTCCTCGAACCTAACTAGTGCCGAGGCCGGAGTCGTTATCACAACCCCTGAAGGAACCAAGCTACAACAATCAATCTGTCTGACTTTTCCTGTCATTAGCAATGAAGTCGAGTATGAGGCCTTGCTCGCCGGGCTTCGGTTGGCAAACTAGCTCCAGGTAAGGTGTCTAAAGGTTTTTAGTGACTCTTAACTTATTGTGAATAAGGTGACTCCCAACATACTGTGGAGGGTGGTACACGAGGATTCGATTAAATCGAATTCCACCAAGTACCTCGTGATGAGAATTCTGAAGCAGATTAGTTGGCTGCTGCAGCGTTTTCTTCAGACGATGATTTGGTCCGGATAGTACCAATTGACACCTTAGATGAACCTAATATAAGCCCTCGGTAGGAAATAATGGTGATCCCAGAGATTCCATGAGAACCATGCTTGATGGATTCGCTAGAAGGTTACCTTAAGCATGGAACACTTCCGAACTAGAAGTTGAGGCGCGGAAACTCAGGCTCATCGCAGCCAAATAATCTATCATTAATGATCAATTGAGGCCCTCGTGATTCTGAAGCAAATCTATGACGGGGATTGTGACAACCATTCCGGTGGCAGATCCTTAGCACATAAGGTCCTCACTCAAGGTCATTTCTGGCCATACTTGGCTCGGAATGCTGAAGAGTATGCTCGGAGATAAGACAAATGCTAATGACAATAATCAAACTATTGGGTCAGTTTGATTAAAAAAAAACTATTGGGTGAGTCAAAATTTGCTCTATCAACTGCTCATGCCTTAATTGGCTTTATTTATGTGCTTTTGTTCATGGAGCTCGTGAAGTGCCTTATTGATTTTGAGATAACGAATAAAAAACGCTTGATTGATTGATGCTGCATGCTCTCTTTGAACCCTGTAGTGCCATTCATCCGAAAGGGATGAAGAAAAATACTTTTGGGTGCAACAATCCTTTTTGCTAGATTTAAGCAATACAGATGGTAATGTCATAGGCTCTTTGTAGTAATTGAGAGGGATGAAGAAAAATTCTTTGTTAACACACAATTTGAGCAATATTACAAGCTCTTTGCAGCATATAAGATAGCATTGGTGTTAACTATGGTTGTAAATTGGGGCTAGATGGTGATCGCTAATGTGGGTCTCTAGGTCGCCGGCGGCACTAGTGGTGGCAAATTAGAGGAGAGGGATATATATATATATATATATATATATATATATATATATATATGTATATGTATAATTGTAAATTTATAAAATATTTAGAGATATTTTGGTCTTTTAATCTAATTCTTTATGGTTAATAAGTTCTTTTGACAAAGTCAAAGGGTATTTATGTCATTTTACATGGTGTCATAGCCTAAACGTCATGTGCGTTAGGATGTGAGTGAAAGATGGAACAAACAATTGTAGCTTGACTGATAATAATTTTCGAAAGATATTTCAATGTGATATTTGGCCAAACCTAAGGGGGTGTCAATGAAATTAACCCTAAAAAATAATAATTAATGGGTCCACGGGTTGACCCTATACATTTTGACCCGCTCATTTTCAACCCGTTCTGAACCGGTTAAATATGGGTCTTGACCCATGTTTGACCAGCCCATTTTTAACCCAGCTTAAACCCTGCCCAACTAGCCCATTTACCACCCCTAAATGTACCAAATCCGAAGTTGAATGATGGAATGTGGGCTCACGTCCCTCGCTTGGACTCACACACCTCACTAGTAGATATTAGGTATATTTAGTGGTTGACAAAATAAAAGTTTAGATTGATCTTAATTTTGTGCGTACCATAATCGTTTCAACCCATTTAATTAATTTAATCAATCACAAGAAGTAGGAACTTGCTACCGCTGGGCCGGTTGGTAACATCTGCAAATGAACTGAGCCGAGTCGAGCTTTAGGTTACTCGGGCTGGGCTCGCCTCTGTCAAAGGGCTGTTTAGGTTTGGCCAAACTTGGACTAGGCTTGGTAATTTTTTGACGAGCACGAACTCGACTCGGACAAATTTGTGGGTATATATATATATATATATATATACAGTTATACACTATCTATCAAATAGATCCAGAATTTTGGAACATAAAAACTCCACTATCAGTTCACATATTCACACCCATTAATGTCCAATTTATCAATAATATTACATTAGATGAAATATTAAGCTAGAAAGGGAGGGGGAGATATTGACCTAAGCTTGATGTTGCCTTAGGACCTAGGAATAGAAGATAGTCACTGAAAAGTAGAAAAGATGATGCACACATGATTTTCGTTGCCAATATGACAGTGGGATTGGAGAAGCTGTTGCAGATAGTGGGATTGGAGAAGCCAGGTTGTAAAACTATTTTTTAGGGTTTTTTTTTATATTTATTTTTGTCTATTTATTTTTATTGGATCCTTTTAAGTTCAATCCAATAGTTGAGAATTGAGAGGAATCTAATAATCAGTGAGCTATTTAATTAAATGGGCTTCTAAATGTCCAAATATTAATTGGGCTAATAAAGAAATATATGTGAATTTGGGCTTGATTTGTACATAAGGGCAAGTTTTAAAATATATTGATTTATATTTTTAATATTTAAATATATTTTTATGTAAACGAATTTGCTCACGAGACGAGACTAACATTGTTCAAGCTCGGCTCGTTTATTAAACGAGCCTGAAAATTGAGCTCGGGCTCGGCTCGTTTATTAAACAACGAGTCCGAGCCGAGCTTTTAATAAGCTGAGCCCGAGCTGTTCATGAACGACTCGATTCATTTGCAACCCTAACCTCAATGCCTTTTTAATTTTGTTCTCAACAACTCTAATCTTTACCTAAACACCTTTTAATATTGTTCTCAACACATTTTATTCTTATTCTCAACAACTTTAATTTTTACCTCAACGCCTTTTAATCTTTAGATCAACATCTTTTAGTCTTTTTATCGACACCTTTAATCTTGTTATCAACGCATTTTAATCTTTACCTCAATACCATTTGATCTTTGTTTTCAACACTATTAATCTTTACCTCAACATATTTAATCTTGTTCTCAACACCATAAATCTTTACTTCAACACCTATAATCTTTTTTTCCACACCTTTTTGAAATAAAACTAAAATAAAACATTATTAAAATAAAAATTAAAATAGAAGGTATTGGTCTAATCGGTTTAATTGTCTTGAATTTTAATTATTTATCATCTGGAGTTAAAAGTGATTGATGTCTTCTATTCTTAAAATTTGTTAATGATTTGAACTCTTTTACTGGATTTGTT